TTAGTAAATTATTAATAGTTAAAGGGTAATAAGTTAGTAGAGGTGTGCTGCTCGCTTATCTACGCCGCTTACTTATTAACTACGTTATTATAAGATAATTTTAAAGAGCTTTATTAAGCTTTATTTTATAAAGTACTTTAAAAAGGCTAGTTAGTTATTAGTCTTTAAATAAGATAGTAATAGTAACTATAGGCTAAGTAAAAATAACCTAGTTAGAGACTAAAAGGATTCTAATAGCCTATAATACTTCTTAAACTACCCTTAAAGCCCTAATCTCTTACCTATAAAAAATTACTAACTACCTCTTATAAAGACTATTAATAAATAGTTTTACTAAGATATTAATATTTTTTAAGATTTAGCTAAGCAAGGCTAAATATAGCTCTTCTAGGAGACTATTAACTAATAGGTTAAATCTATACCTATATAGCTTAAGGATTATATTAAACTTTATAGTAAATAAACTACCTTTTAATTTACTATAAAATACTTATTTTCTTATATTATTTACTATTAAATTAAAGTTATTATAAGTAATCTTTTCTGAAGGGTGGTTATGACTAAAGTAGGCTAGTTTTTTTGTCCCCCCGCTGAACAAGCTATCCCTTTAGCAGTGTTAAAGGAGCAAGCAGGTATTTTGCAAGGGTCTTATCTAATCACATAACGTTAAAACCTGTGGTACTTACCCTTAGTAGTGATTTAAGAGTAACCATAAAGTACTGTGGCGTACGCCTATACTGAAAATGACTTTCTTACCAGGCACATGGATAAGGCCTAGTCAGTACCTCTCCGTCTCCTACCCTTGTGGATCTCGTGACCTGCTTGCTCCTTTAACACTGCCAAAGGGATAACCCAACGGTACGGTTCCGGCGTCATTGACAGGGTCCACTTTCGGCTGGCCCAGGAACTTTTTTTTGGTGCAGACGAGGATCGCGACTCTGCCAGTTACAATCTAGCCTTGCTTTTTCATTTCCTTTGTTCTCTACCACCAAGTCTCTCCTCTTTTACAACAGTGTACAGTTGAAGATTTCGGTATTATTGGCTCCAACCACACAATGGCTGCCGACGCCTGTCCAGTCGACCACAAAAGCCGCGAGGCCTGGCTCGAGCAAGCCCGAGCCGTCGAAGCCTCCAAAGCTGCCGCCGCCGCCGCCTCCCCCTCTACGAAGCAGTGCCCCGTCGACCACACCGCACAAGCACCCTCATCACAATCACCATCATGGAGCTCGCGTCTCACCTCCCTCCTCTGGTCGTCGTCGTCGCCGCCAACAGCCGCGTCCGAAGCTCCCGCGCAACAGCGTTCCCCCCATGCCGGCCTCGACACCGATCGCGTCATCTCCACCATCCCGCGCTCAGCCGGCGACCCCTCGGCCTGTCCCGTCGAGCATGGCGCATCAGCCAACCCTGCCAATAACGAGGTCGAGTCGGGCGCCGACGCCGCGTCGGGAAACTGGGTGTACCCCTCGGAGAAGATGTTCTTTGACGCCATGAAGCGCAAGGGCTACGACGCGCGCGTCGCGGACATGAAGACGGTGGTGCCCATTCACAACGCCGTCAACGAGCGCGCCTGGAAGGAAATACGAGAATGGGAGGCTCCGTACCTTGCCAAGTCGCAGTAAGTCGCTCCCGCCCCCTCTTCGCGGTCGGTGTGGGCAGCTGCGGTTCGTTCGTGATTCACGCTGAGGCTTGTTGCTAATGTTGCACTCTCTTGTTTTCGCAGGTGTGGCGGACCAAAGCTCGAGTCGTTTGCAAACAAAATGGACCGCATGACGCCTACCGCGCGCCTCAACACCATCCTGGGATTCACAGCCCCGTTTGACCGCCACGACTGGGTCATTGACCGCTGCGGCACAAAGGTGGAATATGTGATTGACTTTTACGCCGGTCGCCCTGGCGGCTCGACGGCCGGCCCCAGCTTCTACCTCGACGTGCGGCCAAAGCTCAACACCTGGGAAGGGATTAGGATGCGTGCCATGCGCTGGGCGCATTTAGCCTGAGAAGGCGACTCTCCCTCGCGATACAGACCACGATGAATGACCGACCCTACGACGAGCTTTGAACATCTCCTGTACCACAATACATAAAGACATATAGATCCCCAGGCATGCTTGCCTATTGTAAACTAGAAACTCTGCATTAATAAAGCAAATGTATTCACTGTATGCTCATGCCCAGATATGTTATACATGCGGCTTGACGAACCCAATTCAGATCTTACTTTAGAGTTTTCTGACTGGACCATCATCTAATATTCCTTCTTGCTCAGCTTGCGAGCTGTTAATCTGACCGGCGCAGCTGTCTCTAGCAACTGTGTAGACAAGTCCCAACCTTTATCGGCCATGCTCGCCCAGAGTTCCTTACCAGCAAAGTATTTCACGTATCCGTCAACAAGAACACTTTGATCGCTGAACATGCGCTTTAAATTCGGCGTGAAGCCAGTCTGCCTGTCCATAACCCATGCCATCTCGACGGCCTCGAACCAGGCCATGATGGCTTGCTTCGGCAGTACGTCGTCCCAGAGCAATATACACAACGTGGTTTTCTTGTGAGGCACGGCTGGCGTCGCAGTAATTGAATACTTGTCGCCATCGAGAATCTTGACTCTGCCAACGGAGCTGCTCATCGCGTGCCCAAAGCTCTTCGCCATTTCGATCTTAGCGACTTCCTGGCCGTGACGGTTCGAGACAACAGAGCTCCAGACAATAATGTATTCGCGCTTGGCGACCTCAGCAGGTGAGAGCACCTTTCCGGTCCGCAAATACTCTTGAAATAGAATTGTGGCGCGCTGGCGATTTAAAGTGGCCATCTGGACGCTGCGCACGCCGAGGTAATTCATCCATAGATGACCGAAGACGAGAAGAATCATCAGAGAAACAACGCTTCGATGGTCTTCAACCACCTTGACGACAATGGTTCCGACCAGGAGCCCAATAAGCCCCACGGCGGTTTCCTGACTGGCCTCCTTTGCATTCAGCTCAGCCAGGTTATCGTGCTTTGCAAAATGCATGCTAAGAGCAGCCTTGCTCGCGCCCGCCGACACCCCGCACAGCGCTCGCAGCGCCTCGCCAACGCTGAGAACAACGACCTTTGCCAGCGGCGACAGATACGGGCTGTACAGCTCGAGGAAAAAGGCCGTGTCGTTGAACAAGTCGGCAAGGAACCGGTAGCGTTTGGCGTCTGGCTCTATCCGGAGGCCGAAGCGGTGCGCAAACACAATAGTCGCGACTCTTGAAGTGGCGTCGCGCAATATGGTCAAAAGAAGCGCGAAGGTGGCGGAAGAATTGGCATCGCCGACGCCAAGGCCTTGCAGCAGGGCTCTGTTTGCGAGGAGCGATGTGATAGTGGAGAAAAAGGCCTGCAGTGAATCAAACGTCTGGTAGGCAAGGTAGTCAGAGGAGACAGAGTGCGGGAATCCGACGGGCAGGAAAGAATCCGACAAAATCTTCTTCCATTCCCGCAGCGAGCGTGAAAAGAGGTCGTTTGTGTGGCCCTGCGGACGGATCTAAGGTGGCAGACGTCAGCTATGGTGTGCGACAACAAAAAGGCTGCAAAAACTCCAATTACGTGAATGATACGACCGCTTGGCTCATGTAGCCATCGTTTCTGAACATGACCTGATTTGTCTAGCTCAGAGACTTCGACGTCATTCTTGCCGGAGATGAGTGCTGCTATCGTGGTAGCAGTATGTTCTGAAGACTCAACTGGCGCCATCGATGTTACAGTCGGTTTTAAGTTCGCTTGGTCGGGGTGGGCAGCCACGAAATGGCAAGAGAGATCTAACATGAGGCAGTAAACTGCCCTTTGAGTTGGTTTGGGAGGCTCATATGTTGAGGAATTGATATTCTGCGGCGTTTGGTTGATGCAGGATGGTAGATGAGTGCAAGAGGTCGAGTTGCCAGCTGGCCCGCCATGACTGCTAGTCTTGGCTCAGAAGCGACTGATGGCAGCCGGCCGGCAGAGCGCAAACGGCACAAGAAGATTTTTTTTTCTCTCGGTTTACGAACATATATTTTATGCACATAACGTAGATTTGTATATATACCTAGATGAAGAATTTCCTGCCTTCTTGGCAATCATCGCTTGGTATTCTGGCCGTTGGCATCAATAAGAAACTCGTCCGTCTTGACAGGACCCTCACCAACACCAGTCATAATGACGCGGGTGACGCCATCTCGCAAAATTTCGGCAACAGTCTCGTCCAAAACACCAGACTGGGAGCCGACACCGCCTTTCCAGCCAGAGGTGCTACCGAGAGTTTCCGTGAATGCGCCAAGGACAGCATCCTTGTTCTCATCGAGGTAGTAGATGACGCAGTTGGGGCCGGCGTCAAACGTGTACGCAGCAACAGTTTTGCCAGCCTTGGCGTTTATAGACTCAACGGCGCGAATCGCCGCACGTGAGACGTCATTCATGTAGAAAATGGGAGGGTAAGTATCAGCGCAGCAAGCGTGGAAAGAATTAGAGTCACGCATGGAAACCTCGGCAAAGTTTTCAAAGTTGCGGTTATGTATGGCGTCCTCCATGGCAGCCATGTTGTCAGGAACGATGCGCGCGATGCGCTCTTTGAAGAGGCCCGATGTTGCAACGGTCTGCTGCATACCTGAAGTGGAAGAAACGCCCTTCTTGGCGGCGCTGGCAACAAGTATGAGAGCGCGCATGCTGGGCCAATGCGAAGCCTCAGCGACGAGGTCGGCCTTGGAGTCGCTGCCGTCTTCCTTATCACCCATGCGCCAGGCGACATAGCCACCAAACAAGCTACGGCAGGCTGAGCCAGAGCCCTGGCGAGCAATAAGGGAGAGGTCGGAGGGGGAGTCGGGGAGCTCGTAGAGGTTGGCAATGGCTTGGACGAGGGCGGCGAAGCCGGCAGCAGAGGAGGCAAGCCCGGCTGCGGTAGGGAAGTTGTTTTCGGATACAATCTTGAGAGGCATCGTCGATAGCTTGGGTAGAGAAGCGTCGGACGCCTCTAGAGCTGCGCGGCGGGCGCGCAGCTCGCGAAAGCAAGCCTGCGTTCTGGCGCCCGAAATGTCGGAGAGCTCCCCGTTGAGAGTGAGGCTGTCTTCGGTGAAGGCGGTAGAGCAAGAGGCAGTCGTGAGGGTTCGAAGATCGGCCTGAGATAGAGTGACGGAGATGGAGCTGTTTGTAGGGAGGTTCAGCTTGGCATCACGCTTGCCCCAGTATCTGTCAAATATGCCGTTAGCATCGCGCAGCCTCTTCATCCAGCCATCTAGAGATTCTCCTTTGGCGGGGCAGGCCTAGGGTAGGGAGCACATACTTGACAACGGCAATGTTGACGGGAGCTGTGGTACCAGCACGGTAGACGGTAGAGTCTGCCATTTTCAATCCGGATATAGTCGATTCCTTCTCAGTTGCGCCCAGCGACGGCCGGCCTTGATGTCGTTTGGAGGAGATTTCGTGGAAGTAGGCGGTGTCGATGGAGGGGGCCAACAGGATGTGGGTGCGGGGCCAAGCTTATGATAGAGTCAGCATCGATCGAGTTCGTATCCGGTTGCCTGCCAGTTGGCGTATTGGTCGAGCAAATATAAAATGTGGCATGAGCATAATATCAGACTCTTTCGAGGCTTTGACGCAGATGATGATTAATTCATATCGTTGACGCCGCAAAAATACATCCCCCGTCTAAGATACGTATGACTGGTATGTACCTTCGACATAAATGTAAAGCGAAAACGAGCACGATCTAGTGGTTACGTGATCATTGAACAGCGCGTTTTTTTCCTTATTAATTTCCTTTTTGATCTTCTTTTTGATTTTCTAGAACTAAGTTCCAGAGCGAGAAAACATTACCATCAATCGATTCCAAGTCCCTCATCATCTCAAACCCCCCTACCAATTAAAACCCACCCACCTCAACCAAATCAGACAGCATCCGTAAAAGAAGTTCGTCCCCAAATCGCTGTCGACATGACCTGAAGCTCCGACTCTCTGCCTGTTCAAGAGTATCTCTTTTTTTCTCCTCTTTGTTTTTAGTCTTTCAGGTTTTAATTTCCAAAGTTTTTCTTATTCTTTTGGGGGGGGGTGTTCCGCGAATTGAAGATCCCATGCTGGGGTTACTCAGAAGTTGAGAAAAGGACGCAGATACACGCGAACAGCTGCCACGATGCCGTAAATTGTTCGGAGGGGTTCCATTCTCGGCGAAACATGACCCGGTGCCGCTGACTGATCAACGGCTTCCACCGGATCAGAATTATCGTCTGCAACATCCGGAACCAAGTTCTCTGAAGAAGAAGGCTCTGTCGAAGGCAAGCCGCCATTTTCATACGTTGGAGGCGGAGCCGGGAGTGGCTTAAAGTTTCGGATGCTTCTAGGCGTATACCAGATTGGATTGAATGGCAAAACTGGATCATCGTTGACTGCCGTGCTTACAACATACGCAGCTCCCCATCCCCCTTTCGAAGGATCGGGAGCTGGCCAAGTTCTCTGCGTAGGAGTTGGCGATCTCATGAGAGAAGGAATCGGATTTGTTGGAACAGGAGCAGCTAGCTGAGTTGGGGCAGAAGTAGTTGCCGCTGCCCAACTTTGACGTTGATGAGATGAACGCTTGGAAGCAGAATTGATTGCCGTTGCCCAGAACTGACTGGATGAATTGTTGGGAGCAAAGGGATTCGCCGTTGCCTTATATTGATGAGACGAAATGTCAGAAGCGGGAGTAGTTGTCGTTGCCCAATGTTGAGAGGATGATTTGTCGTAAGCAGGACCATTTGCCGCTTCCCATCGTAAATGAGGTGGAATATAAGAAGCAGAAGTAGTTGCCGTTGCCGGACGTTGAGAGGATGACCTGTTGTAAGCAGAACGGTTTGCCGCTTCCCATCGTGAATGAGATGGAATATTGGAAGTAGGAGAGGTTGCCGCTGCCAAACGTCGACGAGCTATGACAAGAAGAGTTGCCGTTGCCAAGATTTGCTCACTTACATATGCAAAATCAGGCTCAGCGTGGGCTGTGTTGACGGTGGACTTCAAAGCATCTGTAAGATCCGCAATGGCTGAAATAAGTGAAGAGGTCGTCGTTGCCCGAGTTCGATCAGATGGACTATCCTGATTAGAGGCAGGACGAGCCGTTGCGGCAGTGGGCTGCGCTTGCAAAGCATCATTCGGATCGGGATCGTCCGACTGAGAAGTATGCACCGTTTCCCAAATTTCGGCAGATAACGATTTCCATTCAGAATCAAGATCTGAAGTGTCCGCGACAGAAGGAGTTGCCTTTCCCTGGGTTTGATTAGGTGGAATACCCCAATCAGATGCATCCTGAGCTGTTGGGGCAATGGACTGCTCCTCCAAAACATCGTTGAGATCAAGCTCGGAGACATCCGAATTGGAAGTCGAATCGTCCGATGACACATTGAGATCTGCCCAGTCGTGAATGCACGGAGGAGACACCTGGATCGGTCGACGATCTCTGTCGACCACCGCGTATAGGCCTCGGAGCTGGCCATATGACGTGACTTCTTCTTCGCTTGGGTATTTTGTATGCATATGCCGCTGAACATCTGGCTCCTTGGAAGGGTCCATGATGGCGTGTGAAGTGAGTTATCCGTTATCAAGAGGGTTTCGGGAATGCGTCTTTCGAATTGATACTTAAAAGAAGATAATAGGAAATAATGGAAGAGATCTGGAAGCGAGAGTCCTGCTGCTCAAATAGTTTTCCAAGGTAATCCTCTGTCGATTCGAACATCATCATGGTTTCGTGGCGCGTAGTAGAGTGCGCCTCTCGGAAGTGTGGTTAGTTGCCATGGCATGGTCACGAAGTGCAGCTCAATTGCTGTAATTCGGGTGGCTTTACAGTAAAATGCTACACGAGGGTTTTATATTACTGGAGCTGATCATTCTGTCCATTCAATGCTGAAGAGTTAAATCTGCGTGGCGGTTGCCGCCTCAAAAGGTATTTACTATGCGCTGTGGCTTACAAGGTTTGGCGGCTGAATTGGATTGCCCCTTTGAGACTGTTACGCGAGCAGCGGCGGGTAAATTATTGCGAAAATTGGCTTTGATGGATTTGATACTGTAGTTTTTCTGCTCTCTTGTTTTAACCTTTCTTACTACTTTTCACCTGCTAATATCTACAGAATGTTGTTTGAATGGGTAAGGCGTAGTAGTCAGTAGCTCATGTAAGGATGGTAGAGTGCCTTCAGGCAGTACCTTACCTAGTAGGCAGGTAGGTACCTAAGGTATCTACCTATTGTATGGGGAATTGGTGGTTTGCTCTGAACCGAACCCACAGTAATTTTAGCGGGGACTATAGGTATCGACAACTGTCGAGAATGGCCACCAATAGACGCCGAAATAGGATCAAGTGACAAACTGCTGGAAATGGAATTCCTTTCAGGAAATATCCAATTCCACCTAATATCGGGCCAGTCACTCAATCGTTCCCGTTGCACCAAGGTGCAGTGTCGTAAGAGCTAGTCTAGTTACCAGTATAGTGAACCCTTTGCATAATTGGTGGGTCGATCTTGATCTTGGCCATTTGACGTCATAGCTGGGCTCTAATGACAGGATGCAAGGCGTGTGCAAGGCGTGCATGAGCCTTTTATCTACCCCGACCTCCCGCACGTCCAAATGGCGGCCGCTCGAACTAGACGTCGTTTGCACAATCACCTCTGTATCTGGCGACACGCAGGCCGCCCGACGCGATGAGCAGAGCACTCGGGAGGGAGGCGATGCGCGCTGCCGCTGGCTGCCAGCTGCGTAAACAAGTCGTTGGGTTGGACGGACCAGGGTGTCATGCCCTGCAACAGACCAAGCACGTCCACTCGTGTGCCCCCAGACATATTGCGACCGGAAAGAGTCGGAATCCCTCTCGATATAGGGGCGCCGGTACGTCGGTTTACGATAGAAACTTTGCCAAGGTGGCGCGGGCATCTACAGCCACGGTGTATCAGCGGGAAAGACCTCACGAGTCTACCCTCCAAAAAGAAGCGGAATTCAACGAGGCCGAAGCCACCAAAGATACAGATGCAAAGGGTGCGTCCATCGTGCTACGTCTCTTGCCACTGCTACTCTCTTTATATTGACACTCAATTATAGGACGTATCTTGACGACCCCTACGCGACTTTTGAAGCTTGTACTTCCTCTGCCCTTTGATGCTAGGCAAGAGCACATCAATAAGCAACCACTCGAGAAAATACAAGAGAACAAGCAGTCAACTCCTCCTCTTGCTCTACTGATTCACCCACATCAACCGTTATCGTATCTTGAGCGGCTGATTCAAGCAGAGCTCCCTCCGCTCCAATTGGAGAAGAAGGAAAAGACGCCGGATGTTGATTTTTGGGCCGAGGTGGACAAAGAGGCTATTCCCGAGCAGACTGGTGCAAAGGCTAGTAACGTTGCCTCGTCGTCAGGTCTCGGACATGAGGGTCCTGCCCACAAAAACAAGAGCTGGGTGAGATGGAGCTCTAGCACCGAAGTCGGCGATTTCATTCGCGATGCTGCGCGCGGCAAAGAATTCGCTGTCGATATTGAAGGTGTTTCAGAGAAGCTGCACGTCGCTGTCCCAAGTTTCAAGGATCGCACACATTATATGCGCATGAGGCTCCGACGAATGTGCGAGCAGATTGATGCCATGTCTCGACTCAAGAACGAGTGCGATGAGATTGCCCACAAGAGCGCTTATCGCCTCGCCAAAGGTGGTTTTGGTCTGTTGGCGTCCTGGTGGGCCACCGTCTATTACGTGACATTCCATACGGAGATGGGATGGGATCTTGTTGAGCCAATAACTTATCTGGCAGGGCTTACAACCATCATGGCGGGTTATCTGTGGTTCCTATTTATCAGTCGAGACCTGAGCTACAAGGCTGCGATGAATGTCACAGTGTCGAAGCGCCAGAACGCACTCTATCTGGAGCGAGGATTCAACATTGGAAAATGGGAGCAGTTGGTCCAAGAAGCCAATGCACTACGAAGGGAACTCAGAATCATTGCGTCCGAATATGATGTTGAATGGGAGGAGGTCAAAGACTTGGGTGGCTGGGAGGTGAAGGAGGCATTGGAGAACGAAGATGAGAAGACAAAGACTGCCAAGGACAGACAGGAGGAAGACGACGATGAAAAGAGCCGAAAGCGAGACGCGAAACAGGAGCGACCCAAGGAACAGCATTGAATCGTTGAACACGGCATGTATTACTAGGACTACATAGAATTATTAGCCTTGCCTTTCAAGGCCCGATAGAGATCGAAAAGCACACATAAAAGAACTTTTGTGTTCCCACAGGTAAAACAGGCTATTATAGCATCAACGCGTGATTCTACCCTATTCCGCCCCCCCCCCACATTCACGATAACGTGTTGGGAGAGAAATTTTCCCAACGCCTCAATCAGGTAGTTTTAGGCTCCGGATGCATAGAAAGTCCCATGCATCGGTTAGTCTTTCCCATCCTGGCTTTCAATGTGCCAAAGGGCAGTGATTTCACCAATCTCCTGTCCACATTACTCAGGCGGCATTACTGCCGGAGCTCCAATCGCTAGCTGTCGAGTAACCCTTGCGGTGGAGAAAATGGTCACCATCACAGCCAGGCCTTCCAAGCAATGGAGTTCGGGACGAGCCGCTGGGTCGCCATGCAGATAAATTGAATAAATCACCCAATATTCATTGTCGGATTATTTCACCCGCGTCCTAATTGGACAATTGGAACCGCACTACTGTCAACCCATAGTTACCGCGCCGCTGTTATTTCCTCTGAGACCCCGCCCCCGCTTTCATAGGTACCTGCGGGAGGAACAACGGTTATTAATAAGCCCTCAGTCGACGCAACGTTTTGTTTGACCGCCGCTCAGTATTTTCATTTCTTCTCACATCCAGGAAAGCCCGGCTGGTGACAGAGCACATTTTAATCACCGCAGAAGCACCCGAAACCTAGGTTCTCCGATGACGCCCGAGACCGTCTACTTGCCCGACGGGCAGACGTACACAGTTAGCCCAGTGTTTGGCGGTTTTGGCTTCAAGAGCAACGATCTCACTCACGCGGCGCATTTCCCTGTCGGCTGGCACATTGTGGTACACACTGAAGAAGAAAAGATTGTGTTCCAAGATGGATCCGAGGCATCGGTGAATGGAGAGGGCCACGCGCAACCTGCTGGAGACGATCACGCCACCGCCGTGGACGCTGGAGATGGCTCTGCGCAGAAGCGCAAAAAAAGAGTTCGACCCTTTGTTCAGCCGACTCGTCAAAACGACACGCTCTTCATATCCTCTCTCTCAACACCGTCTACCCAGGAATATGGACCACCTGCAAGCCCGACCAGACAGATCGCCATGATTCTGTGGGTGAGCCTGTACTGGTATTTCCACCAACGTGAACCGTCGCCGCGCATGAGCACAAAAGCGTCCCACGAAACACCAGAGTCTGCAAAGCCCACGGGTGAATGGCGCATTACCATTCAACGCGATGGTGTGCTCCGCGGCCGCAATTTGATCCCCAAGCTTGAGCGTATGGGCTTGCTAGCTACAGAGTCAACAGATGTCGGTACCAGTCTCGATGATGGTGACGAGACGTGGTCCAACATGTTTGTTTCTCAACGCATGTTTTGGCAGCTGCCGCCAAACTTGTTTCTATTCACGCTCAAGCCTGTCAAAGCTCCGTCCCCTTGGCCGGGCTCGTCGGGGTCACCTAATGACAGTCGTCCTGGCTCCCCAGTGGCACAGGGCGCGACTCACCTTGCGGTGAGGGCAATGTCTCCCCAGCCAGGGGTCGCGAGACTCTACAACGACTTGCCGGGAGCCCCGACTCCGACCAACATCACAGCCGGGGTGTCGACGGCACACCCAATCACGCCGTTCTTTTCGACGTCGCATCTACCAACCTACTATCCTCCGCTCACGTTGCAATACACGTTCACGAACAATCTGCGACACCCACTACGGCCTAAGCCGCCTCGTATGGGCGAGATATTTTATTCACGCTTTGTTCCATCAGTCGGACGCTACTTGTCGTTTCGTGTGGCTTCTCTATCTCCAGAGCCTGTGCCATACTTTGGACCTATGGGGCCTAACCCACCCGATCACCCAGAGCTAGCATGCCTCTCTGATACGCAGCTGCTCGAGTCGTGGTTCGCCAAGCCCCGCGTGAGCGCTTTCTGGGGCAAGTTTACACCTGAATTCTTGCCTACTGTTGTCAAATTGAAGCACTCTTTCCCGGCAATTGGTCTCTGGGACGGCGTGCCTTTTGGATACTTTGAAATATATTGGGTCAAGGAAGATATACTGGGCAAAGTGCTTGGTGGAGAGGCTGGCGATTTCGATAGAGGCCTGCATGTAATGGTTGGCGAAGAATGGGCGCGCGGGCGGGCTTCTGAGTGGATGACGGGCTTGGTGCATTGGTGCCTCACGACGGACATGAGAACCATGAACGTTTGCTTGGAGCCGAGAATTGATAACGAGAGGTACGTTTTTTCGCTCATCATATTAAGGGTATCACGAGCAATATTGAGGCTAACGTGGCTACAGAATCCTCAAACACTTGGACGAGTCTGGATTTGGTCGAGAAAGGCAATTATCGTTCCCGCACAAACAATCCTGGTACGTTCGCTTGCGCCGCGAGACGTGGACCGGGCCAGTGCTGTAATTGTAGACATGCGGAGTTAATGAGCCGTCGAGGACGGTAGAGTAATCATTTTAGTATGATATATAATATATATTCTATAATTGGTGTCATTGTTCGCTGCCAGAATAACCTGTTATAACAGCTAGATGGGTTAGACTTGCGTTGGTGCTGACCGTGATAGGCAAAGACATGAAGCTCGGCATTGAGTGACGCAGTTGTGACGATGCTGTGGTGGGAATGATGTGTCTTGAACAGATGCGAATTGAAATGTAGCAATTTGTGCGATGCGCACTTGATGCGCAAATGTTGGTGATCGTCATTGCAGCGTCACTACCTTTTGGCCAGATGCCCATGTCAGCCGAAACCAGATTCCGCGCGAATTCCGACGCCCAGCTGCCCCGTTGCCTTTGCCCACTGCCCCGACTGTGAATCCAAATGTAACGCTTTAATGTGCCATGGCAGATATTTCGGCTGATCTACCCCCTAGCGTCTGAAAATCAAGGAAAGATGAAGAGTTAACGGAAATATGGGTGTGCAACCAAAAGCAACGTAGCACAGCCACAGCACAGCGCTAATTCTGTTTCTCCGGCTTTTGGGTTTGGTGTGGCGACTAAGTTGTACCAAACACGAGACCTGGTGGCTGCCCGGTGACGGATCAAAAATCGGCAATGGAGAAACAAGGGAAAAAAGGCAAAAATAGACATGGGCGAAATGCGAAATACGATTCTGGCATTCTGGGTACACCCCTCCTCCTTGAGCAAATCGTGCTGCTACTATGGCACACAGTCTGTGAATCACGGTTCTGGCGATCGAGTCTGTCGCAGATATAAGCAAGATCTTTGATTCGTCGAAGCGCGGCTCTCTGTCTCATTTCCCTCGTATTGTATCATTTCTATCATTTTTTTCCCTCGGTTTCGTCACCATCGTGACTAAAATCACTGTTATTATTTCTACTTGTCAAGTTTTTCAGCTCGACAAGGCCACCGCGACCATGTAACGACATGGTAAATATGGACTTTTTTTTTACACGTCATCTTTGCTAGTTTCATTATAACTAGCTGTCAAACCCGCAGAATCGGGGCAAGGGAAGCCCTCCCACAGGGCTGCATCGGAGTGCCGTGCTAGCTAGCCCGGCCCGATGACCATCAGTTCCCGTGCCTTAGCGCTGGCGACGAGGTCCCACGTGCAGGTAGGTTATAGCTGAAAGCAACTGGTCGTTGAAAAATTTTGGGTAGCATCGGCAAAAGCTACTAGGATATAACGCTAGAGTTTTGATACAAAATTTCATACTTTTGAGAGTAAAATCGAAAAGTGTACCGAAAAGCAAAGTGGCGGCAGAGTGAGGCGTGTTGCCTTTGGTGTAAGTGGTGGCTGTTATTTGAGTTTACATACAATTACGCCACGAAATGTTGGCGAGAAAAAAAAAGCGTTTCCATAGTCTAATTCAAAGAGCAACACTTTATAAATAATTGATTGTCCATCTGCAGTGTTGAAACATTGTCAGAGTCTGCCTGAGTGCCGTCAGCCATCACCGCAACGATGAAGATTTCCACCTGTGTGTCAGTTCTCCTGTACGGGACTTGTGTATCTGCCTTTGTCACGATACCTGATACTCTTGCCGATGGCGTCTACCATGTCGAAAAGCAGACCAATCCCCAACAAGACCCAAAAATCAAGCGAATGGACATTGCTCCCGCCGTCGTCAGGCGCGGCCGCTGCTCCCCGGGAGTATGCGACGACAAGTATCCCAGCCACACGTTCCTCACCGAAAAGCTGCCCTTTCCCGGGTTTCGACCCTACTGCCGCAACGAAACCCACACGCTGACCACCGACAACCTGCTCGCGGCCGTCAACCGCCTCTTTTACACGCCGCTGTTCTGGATCCCGCCCGACTCGGCGCGCTTCGCCCTGTACAACGGCACCGTCGCCTACATTTGCAACCTGGGCGACTGGGGCTCCGGCTCGCTCGTCGAGTTTATGGAGGCCATGCGGATCCTCGACGAGCGCTGCGTCGCCCCGGGTGGCTCGGATGGCTCGGCGGTGGTGGTGCGGGCGGCGAAGCTGTCGGTCCGCAAGTACGAAAAGTTTTACGGGCGCGAGGTGGCTGGTGTGCCCATTTGCCAGTGGGAGACGGAAAAGGGCGGCATGAAGAATGATTTGCTTGAAAAACAGGAGGACTGTCTGAGCTATATGAATGGCATGCGTCGGTTTCTGGGAAACGAGGAGACGTGGTGCAACGACGATGCGACGGGCCATTGGCTCTGGGAGAGGCTGAGGGTCATGTTTCCGTGGTATAATAGCCGTGATGCGGCGACCACAGATTGAGGGCCGCGACGGTGGCTGAAGAAAAAAAAAAAAAAGACTGCAGTTTGTATTTGCAAGAGGATTAGAAGCTGTGTGTAGTATGAATGGAACTTCTGATGCCTTTAATGACGTCAACGTAGCGAATCCTCGTTGCGAAATTGGCAGTGAGATGCAGACTCGGCGATAACGGCTGCAACTGAGCTGGAGGATACAAAGAGCCCCAGCAAAGTTCAGCTATGCTGCATGTCGTACGTGGCTGTAGATGTGAACCACTCTATGCCAGAATGAGCTCTCGAGGACCCAAACATGCACATTTGTTGTTTGCGGCTCGTATTCTACTGGGCGTAGCTGATAAGAGACACACAGCTTCTGTCTCTAACAGACAGTAATCGACACTGTAATACAAAAGTGTCTCCAGCACGGAGTAATACCCTTTCAACTTGGCTTGATAACTATATAATAGCGAGTTATAGGGCGTCAATCAGCTTTGCGGGGGAACTCGCAGCGGCATGTGGGCGATTACTAGTGGCCTGTAATAGGGTTTGTAATAAGGGATCCTGTGGCGGGCCGAGGTGCACAAATTCCACGTGCTTACAGTAGACTAAGCCGCTGAAGCACTGCTGCAAAAAACAAGCTGGGCCTGCTGATACCGACCGTGGCTCGAAAGTAGTTATCAGTAGTTGTAAGATCAACACCCACGAGGGGTAGAAGTAGAACCAGCTCCCTCAAGTAGCAAGAGACATTCCTTTGCACGTTACATGGCCCGGAATACAGAATTGTGAGCTGCTACATTGGGAAGCTCTGTATGTTAAAGATGGGTGGGGGACCGGTTTTGTGTGCTGTTCACCCTGTAGGTCTCACTCAGGAACAGCTGAAGGTTTTCCTGTCGGTCTTGTCGGTGTAGAGATGGCGAGATCAAGAGAGACATCACCGAATCAAACTCCAAAAAAAAAAAAGTATAATAATTCGCGATTGTTATCATTTGGGAGGTGGGCTTTTCCAGGCATAATGCTAATGCTGACACGACAAGCACAGCTGTCAGCAGGGGGGGCCATTACTAGAGCCTGATCGTAATCAGGGCTGGGCGATGACGACAGATGTCATGGGGCTTGGCCCCAGGAATATGGGGAAGAGGGGCACAAAAGTGCGCATAAAGAAAAAAGTAGTTTGCCCCAGGGTCTATTATGCTACAAAGTGATAATGTTGGCGTAATAACTATATTATAAACAACTTTTTCTTCTTCTTCTTCTTTGTTGAAACTGGGGGGGTGTGCGTACAGCGATTCGTTGTTTTTCATCGCGGACCTCGCCGCTGCGTCGAAAAAGCTGTTGACAGCTGGCACAATCCCATCGCCCCTCCCAGACCCAATCATACGTTATACATTCGTTGCAACAATGTAAAAAGCTTGTTGTGTGCGGAAGAAAGAGTGGTTTTGCTCCGGCGATGCAGCTGAAAAATAAAAATAAAAATTGTTGTTGCCTCTGTACAGATTAAAACTGAGTACTGGTCTCTGCTCAGCCTGGACTTGAAAGGGCTGGAATGTAACCCTACGCCCAGCCCAGCCCGAGAAGGAGGCTCACAGCCTTGCCAGCTGGGCAAAAAAAAAAGTCTTTTGTATGTACATGTTAAGCCTAACAATAACAACACAGCTTTGCTGCAAAAGACTGCAGTACATGAGGTCGCCACTCATCGGCCATGCGCGTCGTCTATTATTACGCAGCTTGGGAAAGCCAAAAGTCCATTCCTCGAACAATAACAATCTGCCTGCCACTCGTGAATGGCTCACAGAATGTGAGAGCCAAGCCTGCCGCCAGCCCGTCTCTCTACAAACCAAGGTACTTTTTGCTACATGCCACCCCCCCCCCCCCCCTCCGCCTCTCGTCGCCCCGTGTCTTCATGGCGCCGTCACTTCTCCGGAGGCGGCGAGTGGATGGGCTGTCGCCGTCAAAGCCTCAAGGATCGGCGTCGCATTTTTGACGTTGGGAAAAATGTTGCATGCACCCGGGTCCCGTGCTGTGCGTTTCCGTCAACCTGGAAAGGGGACACAGGAACGTGCTCGTTATCGCAATGTTGTGACTTGTGACTTGTAGACAGTGTTACAGGAGGGCTAGACAAGAGATACAAACAAGGAGGCTCTGTGCGTTCCCGATACACCGAGCTGACTCGCTTTGATCGTTTAGACTAACAACTTTGACCGGTCTCGCCTAATACGGACAAAGCCGGCTCCCCCAAGTTCACACCTCTAAAGAATCCTGGTTTCTCCGATGGCGATGAAGGAAAGCAAAAAAAAAAAAAAAAAAAAAACGCCCAACGGCCTGCCTACTAGGCATCAATGCAAAACGGCCGCAGCAATGGCCCGAAAAGTCTTTTGTCACCGCTCCGTTGCTGCCTTTTTTTTTTTTTGCCCAGACCACAATGACAACCAAGCGGATGCCGTACCAAGTACGGATACATACATATTAAACGAAAGCTGCGCCTCTGCAAGCAAGGCACATATCCGCACGCGATAGGGCCTCCAGCCTGTCTGTCACCTACTTAGCGGTGGAGATACCCCATGCTACAGCTCATAGCACAGTGCATTATCATGGCCCATTCGAAAAGACCATTGCGGACGCTGTGGTTTTTGGGTGGCCATGGGTCGCCTTTTCCAGGCGTCCTCCTCCTCCTCCTCCTCCCACGACGCCACACCACCCACCATCTGGAATCTTGGAGGGGGGTGTGCGCGTTGGGTCCCGAGGTAGGACCCAAAGTATGACTCGGGCCTCTCTGTTTTGGACACCTGGCTCGGGCGGAACCTGTCATGACTTGAATGTTATATTATGCTGGGCTGGTCCCGCCCCCGGTCACCGTTATCTCTTTTTCCGCTTCTTCTTTTTTAATTTTCAAAATTATATCCATCGGTTCCATCTCACGGCTACTTATCCCCCAGCTGGATCTGGACTTGTCATCAACAACACAAGATCGCATCGTGGTTGTTCTCTTCAAACGTCATCCCGCCACACCACCACCCACCCTCTTGTCCTACGCCACACCCTCCAGGACACCATTTGAAGCGCCGAGACACGGCGACAACATCCTACCTATTTGTCGCGTAAACATTTATAACCATTACACAACCCCCAACTCATCAATCGTTGTCCTTTTTTCCCCGACTTTTGTCCACGGAAACAACACTGAACCGAGAAGCAACACCGAGCGGAGGCCGCCTTTGTATCACATCGCCACCCGCCTCCTCCAGCCCGCCCACCCCGCATCCACTTACACACCCTGGAGCGCCAACCTCGCCGCCGAGGTTCCACGAATCCTGCCTTTGCAGTGACCAGAAATAACAGCAAGGAGGCATCGCCCGCGCACCCAACCGCCGAAAGCAGCACGCAGCATCATCATCCTCATAAACACCACCAACCGGCGACCACACCTCGCAAGCAACAGTCTTGCTCTCCCTCCATCATCCCCCGCACCGTCGACGATAGCATCATCACAACAAACAACAAAATGGCGCCCAAGTCCACCTCGGCCGAAGCGGCGGCCACCGCGACCGCAACCACCACGTACTATATGGTGCCCAATCTCCGCGCCATCGACCCCAGCGCACGCGAGGTCGACCTCAGCGCGCATGCATGGGTCCGCCCCATCGCCATCGAGGACGAAGATCTCATGTTTGGCGGCAAGTCGCTGAGCACATTGTACGAGGAGGAGCGCCGGCGGCAGAGCGCCGGCGGTGGCGGCAGCATCGCGGGCGGCAGCAGCAGCAGCGACGAGGAGAATCACGAGGAGGAGAGACGCGGTCGCGAGCGGGTGCGACGTCAATACAGCCCGCCCAAGTCGCACCGCAAATAAGCGTCTTTTCTTCTTTCGTCATGATACGTCCCCGCTCTCCTTGATTCATCCTCACGATATATCCCTAGACCGATGTTGGTGCGACCGCATACCCCATTCAACGGTCGCAGCGCATCACTGCTGGCACTTTTCTTTAGATGGATACATGTTTCTTTTTTTTCTTTCTCACCCTTTGCAGATACACCGCGTTATTATAAGACGGTGCTAGCATAGAAGAGCTGCCTCGCGCAACTCTTCGCCTCGCGGCGTTTTAGATGCATTGCCTGTTGATTTGGTTATACCTTGTTTTACTTGCACATTTCTTTAGCCACGAATCTGGTGGTTCTTATCCCACGGTACATATGTTTTGGTGTGGAGCTCTGTTACAAATTGTCTCTTCTTCTCCTTTTTTTTTTTTTTTGGGTCAACATCACGGCACGATTCCATGACTACAGCGTCACGCGCAAGAATGGCCTTATGAACCCCGAGTCTGCGAATGCGGGGGTTCTACACATTGAGCGCTACAGATAGCTAACAGAATAGCATACATGTTATATATTTATCCAGACTATTAACAACTACTTATCCGCCAAAGTCATGTGAAATGCTTGATTGATTGTGTTCGCACAGCTAGTCGTCGGCTTGTAGCAGTGGGCGACTCGGGAATATCCAGCCAAGCTTCCCTTAATCTATCAGCTACTCCCAAAAGTTTGTGCACTTCTGCCTCTATCGCTTTCGGTAGACAGCAGAATCGACGCCATCGTGGCGCCCAGTCAGTCAAGCCGAGGTACGGAGGAGTTCAGAGTCATGTACGCCGGAGCTATCTGTGTGTGGGGCCGCACACACCGGCGTTCCGTCCGGAGCATGTGACGGAAGGCGGCGGAATGACTCGCAAACGCTTCTCGAGGCCAAAATTAGGGTTTGCGAGTTGTCTGGTTCTTTTGAGAATGCTAGAAGCTGATTATTGTCGCACGTGGCTGTGAGCCGTCGCGTTTGCTTTGACAGAGGCGTTTGCTGGGTTTACGCACAGAGACCCTGGTGGCGTCGACCGAGAGCCGCGGATGAATGGGCAGCGCAAACACAGGGAGGTGATGCCTTATCAGTCCTTCAAGACGCAATACGTTACTAGAGGGCTCAAGTGGCGCTTTTCGTCGTGGGTGCCAAGTCTTTGAACATTCCCGTCTGCCAAAAGAAACAACTGCTCTAACGATAAGTATTTCTATGTTTGGCGCTCAACACGCGCGCCTGTCGAGTTAAAACTTGCTAGGCCAAATTTGTTCCCGTCAGCCGACACCCATGATTCAACTCGAGAGGCATAATAGAGGCTCAAATGAGTATATTTGATACAAAAAGACTCTGCTATTTGATGTATGCTCAATCTCATCCATTCAACTGATGAAATTTGGGGACGCTGGCTGGTATGCAAGAGCACAGGTGAACACCTGCCGGAGAAGCTGGGGAAAACCTCAGATCGTGTCAAATTCATGTCCAATTCTGCCAAGGCCGAGGGCATTCAAGCGATGACTGTTGATGGACAGCATGAATACTATCAGATCGCGTAATCCAGCTTGAGCGATGTTTTTCATGGAAACGGCCGGCTCCTATTGGCCATCTCGACCCTCTTATTTTCACCCGTCAGTCTGCACTCGGAGCAAATGCACATATAATGTACTGACAGATTGCATCTCAAAGCATAGTAATCTCGGCCATCGCCGTGCAATCCAAGATCGAGCCAGTGGAGAAGCAGGATGGATGGGGCACGCGCAATCAGTACGTCGGTACTCGCACACCACGATGATAAGCAGTTGAAGTGACTGAGCTGACTAAGTTTTACTTGTAGCTATAATTATGCAGTCATCTACTAATTGCCGCCAATTGACTGAATACGTAATATATGCGAGCTACGGCGGAGCTTGGAATGTAGGAACAATATGCCTACATGTACAATACTACCCTTACCCAAAATCGCTCACTCAAGCCATCAGAAATTTCCTATGATGTAGGCACATATCGGCAATCAATTGTTTGCTTTAACCTTGGTCTGGCCATGTTTTAAAAATAGCTGGCTAGGTATGCTACCTTGTCACGCCACTCTAGACGCCTTTGGGTTGTAGTCGGTCGTACTCTCGCTGCTTCTACGTGCCATTGACGAAAATCTCTTAAGTAGGATACAGATTACCAGGTATTTTTGGGATGGGCCGTGAAAATTGCATTTCCTCTTTGCGTCCCCAATGCTACCATCGACGCGATTTTTTGCACATGCCGGAAAATTTTTTTGACCAATTCTCAGTGCCGAGCCTGGTCCGGCGAATGGCACGGCGCCAAAACCATCACCATCACGGTCACACTGAAAAGCAGCAACATGATCCGATGGAAAGGAATATTTCCCCACCACTAGGTCATGCACTGGAAGTGGGCTGCATATCGTTACATAGATTGATTGACAGCGTAGGATGATGGACTGGGACCTTGGTGCCCGATTCAGCCCGTGATGGCAGACCCAGATTCGCGATCCGGACAGATGTAGGTTCAGTGATCGTCAGTGGATGATGTATGGCGTACCTGCGCCGGAGAAGCTGCCCAGAGAACGCGCAATGCGGCAAATACGCCACGAGCCGCTGGCTGTTCATCCGATAAGACTACTGGTGTTTAAAAATACATTAGGTTTGCCCTTTTGTTTGCCCCCCCCCAACTCGGTGAGCAACTGCCGCGCCACAGGATGAATTTGTGTGATGGCCAAGGAAACCTGGCCAAGGCCAACTACCATGTCACATCGCACACAAACCAGACACATATTGTCTCGGTGGTTTTTGTTCATCAACTTTTCATGTCGGCCTTTTTCTTTTTCTTTCGGCGGTTCTCTTTCAAAGTTTGCAAAGAGGTCTTGCCCAGCACCAGCCGCCCCTGTAGCATTCCAGTCGTTCGGGGCATTTTCCCTTGCTAGTCCAAAGTTTGACAAGCCCACCTCCCAAAAAAAAATTCAACGCCAGTTCTTCGATCTGGGTCCTTGTTCTTCGACAACGTTTTCAAAACGGGTTTGTTGTCCTCAACATATTTTCAGTGTTGTTGAGCAGACACCGTGAAAGATGACATAGAGAAGCGTCGACCGTTGCTGGTGTAATCTGTACCGCCCAATACACTGCCGTTGCGTTGCTGCACTGGTACGAGACCCGGAAGCATGCATCCTTGTCACCTTTTCGGCATTTGGCCCGCGTATCCGGAAACATTTGGCTCGCCCTGACCAGTGGCCATGCATCAGCGTCATTTGAACTCATCAGAGTGTTGTGCTGGCGTGATGGAGCCAACCAGACCCTGCCTGCTGCATGCGGTATGTTTTGTGTAACTAATAACTGGATTACTGAGTATGGCGCCCAGGGGCCATCGTACTGCGCGACCAATGTTACGACTGACACAAGCTAGCGGTGGAAAGTGCGGCCCGGGGCCTCTTTCCTCTCTTCCCTTCCCGCTGCCTCTATTTTTGCTTTTTACTGCCCTGTCAACCTGTCAACATGTCAAACTTGTCGACCTATTTTATTTGCCGAAATGCATGTCTCGCCTGTTTCTTTGCTTCCTGCAAGGTCACGCCCGCCCAGCCCTTGATGATTGCGGAGCCGGCTGCAACAGTGCGACCTATAGCAAGTCACATTCATCCTCAAGGTGCGCGTTCCCAACGTCGTACTGTTATAAACGAAAAGCTTGTCACTATATAGAGTCGTACCCTGCTGGCCCCTCTGAAACAAAAGCTTGTTTGCTCATGTGCAGGCCGACGGGCTACCTTCATGGTTCTATATGGATGCTGCTTGAACTAATGAGGCGATCGACATCGACTCTGTTACTCTCTCTCCACTTGGTGCAGAGGCCTGGTATGTTGAGGTGCGCCGATGGCCGCAGCCGGGCCCGACTCTGCGCTCACTTCCAGCCTTCGGGCCGCTCTTCCTCATCACCACAATCACTGGCCTCGCGACATAGAGAGCCGAAGAAGTAGTGGCGATCCACTTTGGGTCAGACATCGGATCGGCAATGTAATGTGTGCGCCCAAGCGAGCTAAAAAGAGGATTCTGTTAGCTGCAGAGCATAGTTGTTCGTCTCGCCATTGACCGACGTGTACGTGCTCATCATGTATAAGTACAGAGACCCTGCCTCCCACACGAGCCTGCAGAGTCTCTCTGCAATGATTTCGTTTTTCAGCTTCAACATTCTTTACATCGGCTGTCGAAAACAAAAATAAACTTCAATACTCTTATACAACCTATTAGATCCACTCTATAACACAGCGCTCCGCCGAGATAGCTCAAATCATGTTTCTCAACCTCGGAACCCTTCGTCGCCCGTCGTCGTCTTCTTCTATTACGTCGGCAGGAAGCTCATGGAGCGACCTCGACGACATTGCCAACTCTATCAGCACTTTCTTTGCTACCGACGTTACCAAATGCCACCGCTGCTCATCCCCGGAATGCCCTCTGCTTCGAGATCGCCAGAAAAGCGTCTCTTCTGTACGCAGTTGCGAGGACATGAGTGTTGACAAGACACAAGAGCTTTGGTTCTGCATGCTGCAACTACAGGAGCGCTACGACTGCTACAATTCAACTCGAATCGACCTTGCACTCGACGCAGGTGACCAAGCCATTAATTTCATGCGTAAGTAGTGCGATGGAGCGTCTTGTGCAAAGCTTGGCCAGATTTGCTAATCTGAGACGCTACAGCCAACCGATTCATCATGGACACGCTCAACAATTCGCTTCGTGATTTGCCCGATGAGGGCTGGGATCAGCTTAACCGCTGTCTGGACCATCAAACGATCACCGAAAAGCCAAAATCCAAACGCATTTGCAGGCCCAAGGCTTAGAACTGTTGCCACATACACGAAGATTTCAGTGGCTCTGCTCGTCATGGCGGCAGAGCAGCTGCTTGTTATTATATTTCTTTTGTCTTTATATCTTTGGAGCGTATCAAGCGATGGAAAAGTTTGGATTAGGCATTCGATCTGGAAGGCGTTTCGGATATTGGAGTTACAAAGGGATGGCGGCGATTGCTGCTTGCAAATACTAGGCTGCTGGAGAACAAACTTGTTGTACATGGAATCTGAAGAGACCAACCAACCTGTATGACGAATGATCAACCACTCTCACCATACCATTACATCCGGCACCAGCGGATTCCAGTAACTAGGGAAATCTCCACCCAACTGCGAGATGCGCGTCCTGGAGTTTAGTAGTAGGTACCGAGGCGCACTACCGAATTGGCCGGGCAGCTAGCCACCTCACCAACTGGCGTCATCATGTTGTCGGTGATACGCGGTGCCGGCGAACCCGCCAACCCTGGCCATCTTGGCACCGGTATCGAGAATTCGCGCTTGGAAAAATTGCCGCCAGAAGACCTGACGACAAAAATGATCGTCATGTCTCGTCGCCGGCCAAATAGACGTGCTACTTAGGGTCACCTGTGTCCATTCGACTTGTGCGGAGGGATCATGCTATGGCACGCAGCCCACTGCGACACCCCAGATTCTCTTCACCGTTAGTTCTCCCCGTTCGAAAAGGTCGGGCTTTAATCGGTGGGCGCACTGGGCTCAACGCCAATGACTTGACTGTTGTGGCCCCGAGATAGAGTCCGTCCGTGCATCGTCCCCCCTCCCCCCTCCCCCCCCCCCGCATGCTCTTTTTTCAAGGGCGGCCTCTGGGGTCTTGGTCCGCAAAGGGGCGTTGCAAAGATACGCCCCAAAGCTTGTGATGAAGATGTTATCCCGAGGCTTGCGCCCCCGCTCTTGGATCGTTGCCGATGCGCCAAGTTCTGATGATCGGCAGCGGGGTGCTTTGCGAGAAAGACGGGGAGGCAAGTGTCCGATGTCGCTTGAGCCAAACTCCGCGGCGAGTGAGGCCTGGTAAATTATGACGAAAAGCCGAATCCCCGGGGAAATCTGCGGTTATTCATGTAAATTTACAAAAGTAGGGGAAGAATGCGTACCTTTTTACTTCAGCGCCCATGGTTCAAGGTCCCGTTTGTCGCTAGTACTACTTTGCCTGTACTAGCGAGCATGAGGGCGCTGAAGATGTGGCGGCGGCATGGCAGCTAAGAACGATGATGAAACAGGATGTGACGTCACGAGTAAAATACGAATTTCATACAGCATGGCGACGCACAGCGATCCTTCACGTACCTTGTGGCTATCTCCCAGAGGACCTAAATTTATTGTCAATCAAGAGATTCTCGAGTCCACTCGATTGTTGCTCGCATATTCACCATGTAACGCAACGCACCCTAGCAACTTGTATGCAGCACTTGAAACAAGCAGCTAAAAGCTACAATGACACTGTTCACAGTGTAGTGATGATATATATGATTTATCACAGAGACCAGAATAAGTATTAGGATGGCGGTAAAGACGAGGGTTGCGAAGTCGCTTCCTTAGCTCGTTTCTATCATTGGCGGCTATCATGTCAGGATCATAATTTAACATCACCGTCCAGGTTACGCCCTGAAATGGTGATACCCGTCGATAGATCTGATAAAGCGATTGAAGGCGCAGGCACTGGCCTGATCCACAATGGCGTGTCGTCTGCTTGCCGGTGACAACAGCAACAGGCCCGTAGAAAGTATAACAAAAAAACAAACAAAAGACTTGGCGACTAGATCGTCTCCGTGCGGTCGTTTGACGCTTGCTGTGTACGGATAGAGCTCTCTCGGCTTTGACGGGGCCCCATTTCATAACTTCCAGTCTAAAAAGGGCTATTGACAGGTAATTCTAGGTTTTTCTCAGAGGCACACTGGAGTTGCGGATTGGCGTTGCAGTTTGGACTTGTTCAATGCTCACTTGGGTCCCCCCGGGCTAACCAGCATTGCTCGCAAATTTAATTCGATATCAACCAACACAATCTGTTCATTGCCAGGAAATAATTTTTTCCCTTGCATCTATTTTCGAGTCGACAAGGCTGATGACGAATATACCGGCGTCAAGACTAGGAGAATCATGTTCTCGACCGAATTTGTGCATTTTCACAACTCACACTCCGTTCCATATCAGAAATCATAGCTCGGTAAGTCGTATGTATGCAAGAGATGATGCCCCTCGAAACCTGATGAGATCTGATGTTGCCAAAATTGTCGTCGGCGTTTCTTGAAAATGTACATACTCCACCTGGAATAACAGTACAAATTACAGGTCGCCCTTCAGCTCAAGGCAACCCCGACAATTGCACCACCTTTGCACTGCCCATCACAGACGCTAGGGGTCAGGTGCAGGCCAACGTTTTCGACAAGCAGCATGTGATTATCACGCCCACCGCTAGACCCTGCCTCTCCAGCCTAACGGTAATTTCGCCAGGGGTAGTCAATAGCTTTTCGTCCAATCGCTAACAGCTACTACATTGACACTTTATTACACGGTATACCCGTCCGTGGACTGGAAGAACGCGGCGTTCTGGCCGTGCTCGTACTCGTTCCTACCCGGTGCCTTATCTTGCAGCCGGATGCATAGCAACAACAGGCGGGGTACGCTGCGTCCAAATCGCATATCGTACCTACATTTTACTTCGCCTTATCGTGTTTCTGGCACCAAGGGAGACTACCTTCTTAGTTGTAGTACGACGACTGAGCCTGTTAGTTGCACCATTTAGAATGGCTGGTGAGAACCCGAAATGGAGCCCGAGAATTGAATCCCGACAAATCGGAGGGCTCATATGCTTACCAAAAATGTTCAACCGGTAAACTACCTAATGGTATTTCAAAGTCCCGCCCTTTGGGGGCTTCCGTGCCAGTAGTACGTATTACTGGGTGCAGTTCAGCGACGGCATCACAAGGGATGTTGCACATCGCCCCACACTTTAGCTAGTTGGCCGTTCTAGTGGGGCAACATCCCACCACACCGTTGAGAACTTGACTTACAAGAATGCAGCCTGGATCATTGACAAGATGGGAGGCTTCTAGGAAAGCCATAAATGTTACGAGAAATCAGCACAGAGAACAGTCGAAAAATTCACGCGTTTAAGCAGCGGCGGCATAGGACAAGTCCTTACAATGAACCCATCCTCTGCGCGGAGCAAAGGCCAAAAGTGGATTAGGAGGGCAGAGTCATATAAGCCACTTTGATGCATACACAGTTGTCGGCGCATACTCATGAACAAATTAAACACAAGAATCAAGAGGGGCAAGATACATGCACCAGGCATGAGACGGATTGTGGCTTTTCCCATTTCGTTCACGTAAAAAGGCGTGTTCATACAGACCATTAGTTAGGTCGCATGGCCAGGCAGCAGCCGTGGCCGCAGCAGCAGCGGCCAGGCACTTGGTGAGGCTCCTTCGTCGCGCTCTGCAGAATCAGTATATAATATACAGCAAGTAGCCTCTTTTGCCTCAAACGTCTGTCCTGTAGACCTAGATAAACCGTCTTCTGACACAGAATTACAAGAGTAAGCCCAAAGTACACAAAGCTAGAAACAAGACGCTAAGAAACCAAAAGGATCGCTCACCTCGAATCACACCAATCAAATCCACGCCCTTGAAAGCATGTCGGACAAGAACAAGAAAGACTCGGTCGAGATTGGTACCGCAACAACAAAGCCCGTCTTTGGCTTCTCGATGTCCACAGCCGAGGCGAAGCAGCTTTCTTCATCGGGTCAGGCTGCCAAGAGGAAGAGAACGAAAGACACGTCTCAGCCGCGCCCCCCAACTCCCCCAAAGAGTAACAAGAGCTAAGACCTTCAGGCCAAGGCCGAGGCATATAGCCTTTACTTGGGCCGAAGAGGAAGCCAATATTCCTCTAGTTAGTATCATCAGCAAAGAATAAGTCGAGCTGCTCGTTATACCCGTCATAGTCTCTCAACTTCTCGTCAATGATGTGGTCTACATCTCTGCGCCAGAACCGGGCAAAAAATGTGTGGTCCACCTTGCTCATTTCTTCCCGTGAAACCCCCATAAAGTCGCACAATATGCGATCGTAGAAGATTTCGGTAAAGGCAATGGGATGCATTACAGCCAGGGTGACCCAAAATGTCCCTAGCTTCCACCCTTGCCGCATAATCGCTGAAAGTGGCTCTTGGCCCCTCCTCGCATTGGGAAAGAGCGCCTCCTCGCGCTCTATATGTCCGATGAATCCCTCGTGTAATGCCGCAAAGGACGTGATAGTCACCTCGTCCATAGCCTCGCCACCAAGCCAGAAAGGCGGCTGCACAAACTCAAGTGGCCATGAACACGCAAACTCGAGGTCAATGATACACACGATATTCCACTCGTCGTCGACTAGAATGTTGCTTCTGTGTAGATCGGTCAGGGCGAAGACAAACGGACCATTATCAAACTCGCGTCGAAAAAGCTGCGGGAATAGAGCGGCAGCGCCTGCAAGGCTCGCCATTTGATAGTTCGCATCGCTGCGACTCTCGATGCCGTTTGGCTGATGGAGCAGGCGGTTGCTAAAGGCGTCTACGTGATGTACGACGAATTCTTTGACGCTGGTAAAGATTTGGCGTCTGTGGGCGTTGGCGGGGATGCCCTCGTTCTCTTGTATGGTAGACTGGATGCTCAGGGGCCGATTATCTAATCGCAGATAGCCGCGATTGTCAACACGAAAAGTTCCTATACAAGGTAGCGGTAGCGAAGCGTTGGCGAGGGAAAGCATGACCCGCGCAACGTCTCGCTGTAGATTTTCTTGGAGACGAGTGTCCTTATACTTGTCATCCCACGATATTGAAAGCATTTCCGCATCTTCTATGGTCTGGATGAGCAGGTAGCCAACGTCTAGGTCGGCGAGGTCGGCTGAGTGGTGTGGCACGAGCTGCGAGGGCAGCTCGAGGCGGAGAGCGGCCAGAACAAATCGGCGAGCGTGTTGGTACCAGCGCGACCAGCGTGGAAGATGATTTATGTGTGTAAACTACAAAATGTCAGAAGCTGTGTTGTAAGCTAGACAGCACATCTAGACTTGTAGTCGACACGTAATTGGATGTGCAGACTTGCCTGCTGCTTAGTAGACAGCCCAAAGCCAAACAGTCGCGGTATGGGCACATCCGGACAGTTTTGATGAATCCATGCATATGTCGCAGCCTCTGTACGAATCTTTTCATCCGAATTCCCCGGGTTCGTCGCCTCTCCTACGCGATACGGCAGCGGGAAGCGAGCCATGGCGTACTGAGGTACCGTCGGGTCCGCAGCATTGTCAACGTGCACTGGTACGCACAGATTGAATGATCCATGGCGCCAGTACTCTTGCCCAGAAATGGTCACCTTGGTCAAGTCTGTGTTGAGATGGTGTGCCACGAGATGGGACAGGAGATGACGTTGGCGCTCGATGCGCGCATAAAATTCGCGTTTCTGCAGGGGGAAGCGCAGGGCATGAAGGATGTTACTACTTCTATGTTTGGCGGCGGAGAGGGTAATAGGGCCGGACAAGAGGTCGCGGGTCGTCATAGCGAATACGCGCGAGAGGAGGGCTAGGATGCTGTGTGCTGGTTTGAAGATGTTGAAAAGGGGTTGGTCTTGGGAAGTGAGGCTTACTAAGGCGCGTTGAGCCAAAGGCAGTCAGCCTGATCGATCGGAAAACGATGAATCGTCCACAAGTACGAATTATTTGTATGGCTAGAATTTATCGCAGGATAACAGCGGAAATTTCTGGAGAACGATCAAATCGGAGGTTAGGAGATGAAATGATGGAGCACAACCATGGCTAACGAGCGATCCGCCCCGTCAACCCGTCTACCGTTGGCTAGCGGCTAGGCTGGCGAGAGCCGTCCCAGCAGAATCACCTTAAATCCAACGGGAGTAGTAAAGACCGGATTTGACAGCCTTTTTTTTTATGTGAAGGAAATATTAAGTGATCAATCAAAAAGTTTGAGAATAATACTTTCTAGTAAGCATGCAACGGGCTTTACTCAAGGGCCATCAAAGCCCGATCAAATGGTGGTGTGATGCTCACAGTGCTTGAGGCCAGAAGCTCATGAATGGCGCAAAAGTCGTGAAATCAGTAGCCGCGCCGGCCGTCCTTTTGCACCAAGCAACATAGATTTACGAAATTCTTTGTGCAGATGACTGTAAATACTTTATTTGAAAGGGACTTAGACTCGTGCAGACTTGCACAATTCCTTCAGATGAAACCTTGTCTGGCACCCTGCAAGGCCGTATGTCTCTTGGCGGACAAGATGCAATGGCACAAACACCTAGATAGAACTCCGATCCCGCACGAATTTCTCTGGACTTAGGAACTCAACATCAGAAGTGTGGTGAGTGATGGCCGCACTGTGGCCGGTGTCAGAGGTCTGCTGCTACTTGCGCTTACAGAAACAAGCACAGATTACCTAGGCCAAGCTTCAAATCTTCACGAATCTATCTCAGCCTTTCATGCAATACTGAAAGCGGTTATAGCGCCTTCAGGTCGCTTGATGATCCATCTCACGCATATTTCTGGACTGTTTCCCTGCAAATGCCTCTTCAGCTCTCTGCTGCCATCAAGTCATCCAGCAAGACACGTGCAAGGCCGTCGTCTCCGTCGGCTTCGTGTTTCTTACTCTTCTCTATTCGAGCCTACTTTTTGAGATCCTACACATGGCTTTCAAGGTAGCTTCGAGCGTCAATTGCAGGAAGTTTGGCATTTACATAATGGAGCAGTGCGGCGCAACACTTTCTTTGCTACAGGCAGGGCTGCATGGCCATTGCCACAAACAGCGGAGGTGATAATACTACTACACTAATGCTTGCAACTTGCGAGTTGCACTATGACTCTGATTCCAGCGTTCAGAGAAGCCAGTTCCCTGGTGCTGGCTTTCTGTTGGGAGATGCGTGGCAAAGAAATCCGGTAGTTCTCGCTCGTAGTGATACAGAGGTGCTTCCTTCCGTGAAGAGCTTTGGGGGTCAGACGGTAGTCTGGCATGGTTCCAAGATTTTCCGTGGAGACTCATGTAAATTTGGGCGTTCAATAACACGGAATAACTCTTCGAAAGCTTTGAGACCTTGAATTATGAGCAGATTCCTACCCATTACGTGCCAGCCAGATTGTCGCAATTGGTGCGCATTGTAAACCCGGCGATGCTTTTTAAAGAGCTGATGGGAAATTCTAATACAGTTCAGATACAGAGCCATAGGGTGGTTAGATACGTTTTACATTACATCGCTCCCATATGCCATTCTCGGTACGATCTTGCTCGAGTTGGATCCAGACGCAGATGCTGTCGGAGGCACGGTCACCAGCATTGTACACTAGTATAACCGATGGACCAGAATGGGGGCTCATTTGTCTATTCTGCTGACAACAGGTCTCTTTGTTGCTAGTTGTGAAGCAATAGACCCGTCTTGGGGAGACATCAGGTCGCTTCTGCAGACTCGGCACGAAGCTGCTCGGAACCAGAATGCACGTCGAGCCTTGCAGTACGTGTCAGCCAGATTGTCACGATTGGTGCGCATTTCGTGTGAGATGATTTAGCGCTTTGCAAACTTATAGGAGTATGTAACACGCGCAAGAAAGATCTGAAAGACGTTTACTAACACAAACCTAGGCATCAGGCTTGAGGACTTTGTACCTTAGGAGCGGCACAGCACAAGAATCAATCGCGTTTGTCTACGGCCCCTTAATTACTATGGCGCATTTCCACAGTTCAATTTCGCTAATATATAGCGATTATAATATGGATTATGGGCAAAATGTGGTAATGAACAATGTGCATGGCACGTTGGATATGGTGTGGGCGTGTTGCGCAGTCTCGAGATGAAGCAATATTCTCAGTCGAACCACTTACGAATTCTTTCAATTGTTTTGGATTTGTTCGCGGTCAATACTTGAGCCTGAAATTGGTTAGCGGTCATCGTTTCGTGCTGGATAATGACTACTCTCTCCCTGTTGAGCAGCCCAGCATTGGGCGGACGGATTTATCTCTGTCGCGAAGAGCATCTCCCTCTACTACAGGCTTTCACATATCAGTCGTACACATCAATAATAAATGGCCACAGCAGAATCTTTCGTATGTTAGCGCTTTTGGCACATTACTTCGTGTTCATTTCATGGCGCAGCTGCAGAAACAGGGAAGGCTGGTCACATTTACATTTTCGAATTAGCGGCTCTGTGCTAAGGTATATTGCAACGCTGTTCTACGTGTTCTTTTTATCATATAATTTCCAAATTTGTTTCCTGGAATTGCCTGATTTTCGTCATCCGTACAGTTGAACTGCTGTCCTCTGGAGCAGGGCGCAAATATGGCATCTTGGCTCGAGCACTAGCAGCCGCCTCACTTTCAATATCGCCGGGTATTCTCATTTCCGGGGCATCACAAAAAGTCTCAGTTCTATCTTGTCAAGGTCTCGGAGGAGCCGATGAGACTTCACGTGGTGTGTCGACTTTGTGTTTGCAAGTCACCACAGCCATGGTGAATGCTACTGCCAAGAGAGGCGCCATGATTGCCGTTTTACAAGAATTAGCCATCTCCTCAATCGCAGTGCGACATTTGTTTCACTTCTGCAGTCTCATGGTATGCGTCTGGCTCTGCTTCTTCGCTGGTGCAGGATAATTCGACCCGGGACATGTTCAATGGTCGGAAGTATAAAACAATTGACCTCAAGTGTCTTGACAACCAATCTGCCAAGATCGGACATGGCTTCCATCTGTCTCTGAGCTACTAGTATGTTCATTGACCCCAGATCAAGTGATATCGGCTAGCAATCACCGCCGTTGTCTCGGCTCCAGGGTACCTCTTGCACGCTCCTTGCACCGCATCATCTTAAAGTCCGCCACGTCAACGGGAACACCATGCAGCAGCAGCACACGATTGCAGTAGGGGCCCAGGACTCGGTTTTCTGATCGCAAGTGCAGTGTCTTCTGGTGGCTCGACGCACGTATCTCGGAAGCACAGTGAGAGGCTGTCTGGAGAAGTGCAAGTGCATGCGAGCGCAACCTTGCCTCGCAGGGACGCGGGGTTCTAGATTGTGCTACCCTTGACGCTCTCAGCATGTAGATCGAGAACGAGAAACATAGAAAAGAAAAGAGAGCGTTGTCCGAGATAGTACAGGTTATTCTGAGCGGGAGCTTGTTTGGGTATTCGAGATCTATACCGCGCTGGACAACAACTCAGCACGACTTGTGTTCACGATGGCTGAAAGAGGTTCGTTCGTTGATCTCGGTTTCAATACTTTTTATTATCCAGCTGCTCCTTGATGGTCACTACAAGACCAAAGCACTACACTGACGGCGGCCAAGACTGTCTCGTACCACCTCCTTCTCCTCATGCAATTGCCTGTCGAGCTGAGGTTAGTGAGGAGTGACAACCTGTGCAAGCCCAATGCTGGTTTGCGTTGGGCACAAACCTCGCCAGGATGGTGGAATGCATTATTACCTGGCACAAAAGACCACGAACAACTACAGACAATTGATAAAAAGGCTGTGCCGCCGGCAAGCTACCTGTAATCGAGCAATCTTTTTAAACTTATAATTAGCAACGCATATGAGGGGAATTTCCGCGCCAAGATGATGGAAGATTCGCGCCTCGTCCGTGATACAGACTACACGGCGTGTGCAACACGACCTGTATGGATGCCTTGCCCGTCGTCACATCTCGGGAAGAGTGACTGTTTGTTCAATTTGCAGTTCCGGCAGTTGCCAACGCCGGCCATTGCAATCACCAGTCTATTGTTTAAGCCTCTACTGACACTGCTATCTTGTGATTTCTTGCCTGCATCGTGTCATTTTTGACCTTTTACACAGGACTAGCGGTGTCTCGGTAGAAACTACTAGACTTACATGGCCAAGGCCCGTCCCAATCAGGCAGTTCGGTGAAACGTTTGGATAACCGAGAAGCCATGATTTCTGCCTGAGGACATTGTGAAGAGAAACTGCACGAGGTGCGAGAACGGCAGTGTGTCAGCGTTGTGTGACTCTTTCCGCAACACAAAAGATCCGCTGTAAAACCGAATGAGCCTTGTTGCTTTGCTTGCGAGTAAGCCGATGGAGCAGACGGTAGCCAGTAACAAAGCCGTAACAGTTGGCCGCCGTCTTCAGAGTACCCAATTATTGCGCCCGCCAGCGAAAGGGTACATTATCCACTGACGGCCTCTGCTCATGTGTCGTTGAACGGTTCCACCGACCGCGGTCTAGAAGAGTTGATGACTTTTCTTCTAGTGGAGTTTTGGGGAGTTTGGGGCTCACGACCACTAATAATAATGCCCTGTGGAAAACTCTGAGCGGGCGCCGGATTAACCCCGATGCCGTGATGATTTAGCAGGCCTGCGTTTTTGGCATGGTGGATGGTGGCACCGGAGCGGCCCATCTCCTAGCGTGTTGAGTCTGCTTGTACATCATTGTACCTCGTTTTTTTTTTCTTGCTTCCTGGTTTGCAAAGCCTTCGGTTCTTCAAAGAGGAAAAACAAAATCCATGACGTTGTGACATGTGAGTCGCTTCCACAATTAGCCCAGCAAGGCCAGGCCATCCAGA